AGGGGCGCTCCCCAAATTCCACAACATCATCCTGGGTAGGGCCTAGGCCCTCCCCCGTGTGTCCAGGCCAAGAGAGCATCCCTTCACGTGGGATGGGCTCTCAAAGTTCCTTCTTACACCAGGGAAAAATACTGATCCACTACCAGAGGCCCCATAGAGTGCCGATGCCTCCTCGTTGACATCCACTTTCAGGGGTCTGGATCAGTCCCGTGATAGCCTCCCAGACAGCAGTCTGGGGTCCATGTGCTCCCCCTTGTTCAGGCCAGCTGTTTCTGTGGGATTCACCAGCCTGGTCCCGACCCCTTTGATCTTCATTCCTCCCTCTCTACAACTGGGTTCCAGAGTTCAATTTAGTCTGCCTCTGCTTCCATCAGCCACTGAACGAGGGCTCTAGGATGGCATAAAAAGTAGTCATCAGGGCTGGTGAGATGGCTCAGAGGCTAAGAGCACCATCTGCTCTTCCAGGGGTCCTGAGTTCAATTCCCAGCAACCACATGGTGGCTCACAACCATCCGTTATGAGATCTGGTGCCCTCTTCTGGTGTGCAGATATACATGGAAGCAGAATGTTGTATACATAGTAAATAAATAAAATCTTAAAAAAAAAAAAAAGTAGTCATCAGTCTCATTATAGGGGAAGGGCATTTAGGGTAGCCTCTCCACCATTGCCTAGATTGTCAGATTGTTGGTGTCATCCTTGTAGATCTCTGGAAATCTCCCTAGTGCCAGATCTCTCCTGGGACTTATAATGGCTCCCACTGTTATGATATCTCTCATCCTGCTCTCCTCTATTCTTCCCCCAACTCAACCTTTCTGCTCCTCCATTTCCTCCTCTCCCCTCCTTTTCTCCTCCTTTCGTTCTGCCAGCTCCCTCTCCCCTACCCTCATGCCTCCAATTAGCTCAGGAGATCCTGGACCTTCCCATTCTCTGGAGACCGTGCATTTTTCTCTTAGAGTCCTTCTTGTTTCTTAGTACCTTTGGTGAAGAGGATTATAGGCTGGTAATCCTTTGCTCTATGTCTAAAATTCATATATGAGTGAGTACACACCATGTTTGTCTTTTTGTGACTGCAGCCGAAATGTTTTTATACTACATTGTGCAATGAAAGGCAGTGTGGAGAAGTGGGGGAACTAAAGAAAAAATCTCAATTTTAATAAGGTTTGTTTTGTATATAGTCTGTTGTTTTGTTTTTTAAATCTAAACACATGTATGTTGGGCAGGTGCTTTATCATTGAGCTAAATTCCCATCCCCTTCAGATTCCTATTCAACTTACCTTCCTTATAGTTAAAGAGCATCAACTCCTTGCCTTGGGGAAGGAAAGAGGAGGATAACAGTGCCTCATGACCTGATAGAGTAGCTCAGTGGTAGAGACCTGTCTAATATGTCTTAGGCCCTAGGTTCAAGGCAAGGCAACACAATGCATGAATAATCTTTCTTATTGGTGGGGAGAGAGAGTCTCATTTAGGAAAGGCAAGGTAAGGAAATGCAAGGCAAGGCAAGGCAAGGCAATGCATGGATTTCTTTAGATTTGGTTGGGAAAAGATTGCATTTTCCCAAGACAAGGACCTGCTGGTTTTGCTTCATTTTTAAAGTGTTCTTAGCTCAAAATTACCCTTACAGGAAAGTGGCATGATTTAGAATGGCCTGTTTGTTTACTCTCTCAATTATCCGCCTCATCTAGAAGCCTTTTCTTCCCTAGTCCCAACCTCTTCCATAGCTCTTCATTTCTTTTCACTTCCTATTTCCCTTTCTCTCTGCCAATGCTTAGAGCTGCTATTGATAGTGTCACCTGTAGAATCAAATGATTATAATTATAAGCTATTTAGTGGAGCTTTTTAAGTGGAAAGAACCTGAAACCCAGATATCAAGGTCAGTGGCAAAACAAATACGCAGACCTCTTGGCTCTTATATCAGTCAGGTTGCTATTGCTACAATAAAACACCATGTCCGAAAGCAACTTGAAGGGGAATTTATTTGGCTTACATTTTTATATAAAACACCATGTCCGAAAGCAACTTGAAGAGGAATTTATTTGGCCTACATTTTTATGTTTCACTCTGTCACTGAGGTAAGTCAGGACAGGAACTCAAGGCAGAGCCCCGGAAGCAGGAAGTGAAGCATGAAGGAACCCTGCTTACTGACTTGCTTTCCAAAACTTGTTTGGCCTGCTTATACCACCCAGGTCCAGATGCCCAGGCATGGCATTGCCCTCAGTGGGCTGGGATCTTCCATGTCAAACATTGATCAAGAAAATCAAGC